GGCCGGAGGCGGGCGCGCCCGCGGTGGCCGAGGCCGTGGCGCCGGCCTCGCTGGCGCTGCTGGAGCCCGACGTGAGCCCGCCGCCGCCGCCGCCGCCTCCCCGGCAGTCGCCGCCCGACGTGTTCGCCGGCTTCGCGCCCCACCCCGCGGCCCTGGGCCCCCCGACGCTGCTGGCCGAGCAGATGAGCGTGATCGGCAGCCGCAAGAAGAGTGTGAACATGACCGAGTGCGTGCCCGTGCCCAGCTCCGAGCACGTCGCCGAGATCGTGGGTCGCCAGGGTGAGTGGCCGCCGTCTGGGGCGCTAGTCCCGGGGTCCCCGCGTCGCGCGCCTTGGGGAGGGGGCCGCCCCAGCCCAGCTCGCGGCCGGACGCCAGACCCTGGCCACGCCCCGCGTGGCCCCGGCCTCGGTGGCCGCCTGTGCGCCTTTGTCCTGCCGCGGGCCGCGAGAGAAAGTTGGGCGCAGCCCGCGCTCCTCCCCTCCACGCTCAGGCCCGCCGCTGCCTTTGTCTGGGCGGCTCCAGCCGGGTCGAGCCCCTCTGTGCGGCGCCACTGCCCAGGCCCTGGGCCACCTGCTGTGGCACCCCGAGAACCAGGGGGCAGGGCTGGGCGGTGGGCGATCGACACCCAAAGCAGGCACGGGGCGGGGCTCGCTGGGGCTTGGGGGTGGCTCGGGGGCGGGGCAGGGGGCCTCAGGCAGGGTCAAGAGGGAAGTTTGGCGTACAAAGAGGGTGCATATCTCCACTTGTCAGCCTGGGGGCCCTGCTGGGGGTGGGGGGAGCACAGGATGAGAGAGGATCCCCACCCCGCTCTCAGCCCCGAGTCGGGGATTTGGGGACATGCTTAAGGACCAGCTGTAAAAAGATTCCTGAGGTCCAAGCTCCTAGCCTCCCCAGGGCAGGCCCAGGGCAGCAGGCCCGGGGTGTGGGGGTCCCGCAGCAGCTTTGTCAGAGTCCCTGTGGCCGCCCCATTGTTCTCTTTGTTAGAGAGCCAGTCTGAGATTTGCAGGGTGACATCAGGCCGGCCGCAGCTCATTGGCCCTGGAGCTGGAGCTGCGGGGCGGGCAGGCAGGAGGGTGGTGGGCAGTGCTCCTCCGGACACACGCCCACCTACCCTTTTAGCCAGCTGCCCCCAGCCCCAACTTTCCCCTGCCTTCTGCCTGCCCCGCCCTGTTCTCCACTCCCTGCTTGAGGCCAGGTTCTAGAACTTGGGGTGGGGTCTGGGCGGGGCTTGAGGTGGAGCTGCAGGACACTCAGGCTGGCCTTTGGGGGGCTCAGTAACAGGAGCCAGAGATGGGGGGGCTTGAATTGCAAGGTGACTTGTCACCCTTGCCACCTTGCGGGGGGTTGTGCAGAGGACCACAGGGTTGCTCCGGACACTGCCTTCTCAGAGTTCTGGGTGGGAGGGGTGGTTTGGTCAGTGAGTCCTCTGGCTTTGGGTGCAGGTGCAGCCGATCACGTGTCCTCCCCCCATCTGGACACCAGGAGGGCCAGGTGTAGTGCTGGGCTGAGGGCCCAGGAGTTGAGACCAGGGGAGGGGGGACAGGTGGTCCTTTGAGCCCCATCGGCTGCCTCCCACAAGCAGGCACAGCAGGACTCCAGGCCTGACCGTTCTCCACCTGCCACGGCCCCTTCCCTGCCCCAGTCACCCGCACCTGCATTGGGATGTATAACAGGACTGCTGCTGTGTGTGGAGCGTCCAGACGCCCGCCGAGGGCAGGGGGACAGCCGTGGAAACGCAGCCTGGGGGCTGTTGTCCAGAGGCACTAGGCTGATCTGCCGGCTGGCGGAGCGCGGAGCAGGAGGGCGTGTTCCCTGTGCATGTGTGTGTTCTGGCAGCTGCGGGTCCTTCAGAGAGGCTGAGTCCACCCCAGTGGTGGCAGGAGCCAAGCAGAGGGCATCCGAAACTGTGCCTTTGGTTGTGGAGGAGCAGGTTTGGGGGTGTCAGCCCCCACTCCGACCTCCTGGGTGTGCTTTTTGGCACCCATTTATTGGATGCCAGCCTGGGGTCTTGCTGGTGGTAGACAGGAAGGCGGGCTGTGGGGGGTGCAGGCGGGGCTGGCCCCGTGACCCTGACCAAATGAGATCTTCTCTCTGTGACGGGGGGGACAGCACCTCCCTCGGGCGCTTTTGTGAGGATTCTCCAGCAAGAGGGTTCTGACCCCAGCCCCGGGCTGGTACACAGTGGCACCCTGTAAGTGGGTGCGGGGTCCTGGGGAGGGAAGCATGAATGCCACGACAGGTCGGCCCCTGGGGCAGCCCTGACTCTCCCAGCTCTAGGACCGTCCGCGGCGCTCATCTTCTCCCACCCAGGTGTTCAGCTCAGCCTGGAAAACTTTTTGTGCCCCAATCCTGACCCCTCCCTTTCTCTGGTCGCTCGTCCAGTCTCCCACCTTGGGGGTTCCTGGACACGAAGCCTGTCCCCTCTAACCGTCCTGGCTCTCACCAGGGCAGAAGGTACAGCTTGTGAAATCCTGTCAAACCCTAGGTCCAGGGCCACTCCACCCCCTAGAGGGCAGGCCAGAGTTCCCCAGACCTGGGGTCTATCCTTCCCCTGACGCTCGCTCGCTCGCTCGCTCGCTCTTCTCTGAGCTGGTGTTTCCATCCTCGAATGGGTCCCTGCACCCCCTGGGCCCAGGATAGGTGATTACAACCCCTGGAGTTCTCTCTCCTCCCTGAGGCCGAGTGGCACAGAAGGTGCCCTGCACGGGAGCCTCAAGAGATCCCTCAGGGACGGTCATCTGTAGCTTCTGGTCACAGGAGGCAGGGACACGGCTAAAGCTGGGTCGGCAGGGCTGGGATTTGAACCTCAGTCCCTCTAGCTCTGTGTGCGCTGCAGGGAACAGAGGTGGCTCAGGAGAGGACTTCCTACTTTCCAAAGCTCCAGGACTGGCGGAGTCGGCCCCACTTTACAGAGGCCCCAGGAAAAGTGGAGACTCCGAAAAGCGTCCGCCAAGGTCACCTGGGAGGCTGGTGCCCACTTGTCCTGGGTTTGACCTTGGGCCTAGTCCTCCTGAGTTTCCCGTTAGCGTGCACCCTTGCTGGGGGTGTCTGTGTGGGGCTGGGCTGGGTTGTGAGCACCTGTCTGCTGCCCGGAGGTCTGGGTCAGGAGTGAGTGAGTGATGGATGGCCGTGATGGGCCTGTGCCGGCAGGCACCCGGGCTCCCTCTGTCTCTGCTGCTCTCGGGAGGGCCGGTGTACTCAGACTGGCCCCCCTCTGCTGGGGGAAGCCTGCTGTGCTCACGGCTCTCCCTCGCTGACCCCCTGTGCCTGGCCCCCCTCCTGCAGGCCTTGGGTGCTCTTTCTGGCAGCTGGGGAATGCCACAGGGCCACCAGCAGGGTCCAGGCCCTGGTGTTCCTATTTATCCACTGTGAGTCTGGGTTGGGGGTCCCTTATGTTGGCAAGCATAGACCTTCCCTGTGTCTGGGGGGGGGGCCTCTGTGCCCACAGGCCCGCCCTGCTGTGATGTCCTGGCTGGCCAGGACTGCAGCCCAGTTTGGCCCTGCTTTGGGGACAGCACCCCACTGGGTTTGGGGCAGTGGTCATTGTGAGGATTTCTCCCAGCTCTGTCCTGCTTCCAGATCTCTGTGCCCTCAGCTAGGAGCCCTCCCCTGGCACTCATTCTCCAAGGGTGAGCCCTTCTCCCCCTCATGGCTTTGAGGTTTTGTTGATAAGTGTAGCCCGTGGTTACTGTATGGGGTTCCTGGGGGTAGTGCCTGGAGCGCCCGAGTTCCTGAGTGCCCAGCATGCGGGGGTCAGGACCCCAGAATGAAGTCCTATGAGTGGTGGGACCAGGCTCCACATGGGGACCCAAGGCACCCCCATTTAAGGGGAGGGTCCAGCTGCAGTGAGGAGGGAATTGACCAAATGGGGGGTAGTCAGCCCCATTCCCAGGCACACCTGCTTGAGTTGGAGTCCTGGTGGCCAGGCCCAGGGATCTGCCTTTCAGCCTGTCGCCAGCGATAAGTGGTAACCCGCAGGGTTCCCTGCGAGCGTGGGCCTTGGCCCCTGACCTCACCCACTGTTGCGTCTCTGGCTCATCCCCACCGGGGCGGGTGTGTGGCCCGGTTCACTCTGACCGCCCCGATTTCCCGGACCTGCAGTCCGACCCCCTCTCAAACTCGGCCACTTCCTAGGGTCTGGGTGTGGGTGGGGCCTGGGTCGATGGGCATCACAGCCAAAATGCAGTCAGTGAATTAGTCTCCTCTGGGCCCTAGAAGGCTCCACCCAGGGCCACCCTGCAGGAGGGGGCAGGACGGGGGCCAGTTCCGTGTGACAGGAACAAGGGTGCACCCCTGGGTTTCATCCCCCGCCCTTTCTCCTGGCCTTGCCTCCCGGTCCCCCACGCGGGCCTGTGGGGAGCGAACACTTCAGGTGAGGTGAAGGTCCCCCGCCAACTGCCTTCGAGGGTCAGGACGGCAGCGCAGCTGCCTGGGGTGCCGGGTCTGGGCCCTTCTCTTCCTGGGAAGGAAACGGAGGTGCAGGACCGGGCTTCAAGTGGCCAGGTCATCCCAGCACACTGGCCCTTCCTCATAGCCCTCCGGCCTCGGGGAGTGGGGAAGTCACACGGGAGGAACTGAGAAGTGTGTGCTGGGGCCCCGGGCTAGTCTGTATGGGCTTCCTGGAGGAAGGAGTGCTGGGCTGTGACTTGATGCAGAGAAGGGGTGCAGGCACAGTTGCAGATGGGAAAGGTCGGGGGCAGTGAGGTCAGGGCCGGGGAGCTGCAGGACAGGGAAGGACTGACGTGCGACTTGAAAGCTTTCCCACCAGCTGCCAAGTGGGGAGGGAGCTATCCGGGCAGAAGGGGAGGCAGCTCCAGGTCAGGGTGGGTTTGGGGGGGCTGCCCAGTGAGACAACGCTGCCACCCAGAGGGAGGACGGCGGCGGGGGGGGGGGCGGGGGCAGCGGCTCAGGGCCCAGGAGATGCAATGGAAGCTGCCATGCCCCACGCTCCACCCTCCCTGGGGGTTTCTGACCCCAGTTTGCGTGCTCGGCTCTGCTTTTGCTCAAAGCCCTGGATGGGGCTGCTGTCCTTGGGGTCAGGGTGAGGCTGCCCCCCACCCCCAGACACCCCCTCCCATCTCCCAGTGCTCCCTCCTGCCTAGCAGCCGAGCTGGTGCCGCTAGTCCAGCTAACTTTGTATCTTCTGCTCCGGGAGAAGTTAGCAACACTGTTCTCTCTGTGCAGGCCACTGTATTGAAACAATGTCCCTGTGTCGCTCCAGGCGCCCCAGAGTCGGGAGGGGGGGGTCTTTCCGACTCGTGGGCTGGACTCAAGATGTCTCAGAAGGCCCCGGGGATGGGGGTGGGGGTATCAGACCCCCAGGCCGGCACCCCCATCGAAGCCCCTGCGTCTAACCCCACCCCACACGTGGATCCCCTGGTACCCCCTCCACCAGGTCAGACCCCAGCCCAGCCAGTGACAAACCACAGAGCTGTGTCCATGAGCGTCCCCTCAGAAGCTGGGACCACCAGGGCCTCTGGAGGTGACCTGAGTTAGGGTGCAGGAGACCTGGGCTCCCCTTGGGCTGGGGAGGGTCAGTTGGTCAGGAGAAAATCCTAGGTCGTTTCCACAGTCTGACCCGGGGCTGTCCTGCCCGTTGGCTGGGGAGTTGGTGTGAGGGGCGTGCATTCGTGTCCTAGAACTGACCTACCACACTGGACGGCTGGAAACCATAGAAACAAAACGCTCCCCCAGATCCAAGGGCGGGAGTACAAAATCAGGGTGTCGGCAGGGCCACGCTCCCTCCAGAGGCTCCGGAGACCACCTGTACCATTCTAGCTTTCCCGGCTTCTGGCAGCCGGGCAGACCTGATGTCCCTATCCCCTCCCCATCTGTGGCTCCGTTTTCACAGGGTTTTCTGTCTTCCCTTTGTGTCCCTCCTCTTAGAAGGACAGCTGTCACTGGATTCAGGGCCACTCCAGTACAGCCTCGTGTTAACTAATTACACCTGTAAGACATTTTCCAAATGTGGTCCTGTTCACAAGTACCAGGTGGCCGTGAATTTCACTCTTCAGTCCACAATGGGTCCTCCTTGCCTTCTTGCCAAACCCACCACCACCTCCCAAGTCTGGGACTGGAGGGGAAACCGAGAGCTATGTGTTTGAGGATAAAGCCCAGGGTGGGTAGGGCAGTGAAGTGGGGGCCCGCGTCCTCATTGTGTCTCCCTCCCCCCCCCCGCCCCCTCACCACCCCAGGGTGCAAGATCAAGGCTCTGCGTGCTAAGACAAATACGTACATCAAGACGCCGGTGCGCGGGGAGGAGCCGGTGTTTATCGTGACTGGCCGCAAGGAGGACGTGGAGATGGCCAAGCGTGAGATCCTGTCCGCCGCCGAGCACTTCTCCGTGATCCGCGCCACGCGCAGCAAGGCCGGCGGGCTGCCCGGCGCCGCGCAGGGTCCGCCCAACCTGCCGGGACAGACCACCATCCAGGTGCGTGTGCCCTACCGCGTGGTGGGGCTGGTGGTGGGGCCCAAGGGCGCCACCATCAAGCGCATCCAGCAGCGGACACACACGTACATCGTGACGCCCGGGCGCGACAAGGAGCCCGTGTTCGCCGTGACGGGCATGCCCGAGAATGTGGACCGGGCGCGCGAGGAGATCGAGGCGCACATCACGCTGCGCACGGGCTCCTTCACCGACGCGGGCCCCGACAGTGACTTCCATGCCAACGGCACTGACGTTTGTCTGGACCTGCTCGGAACGGCCGCCGGCCTCTGGGCCAAGGCCCCCAACCCTGGGCGGCGGCCCCCTGCGCCCACAGCAGGCCTCCGCGGGGATGGGACCCTGGGGGGCCCCGGGGGGCCCGAGGCCTTCTACGCGGGGGGCCGCGGGGGGCCGCCGGTGCCCGATGCGGGCCCTGCCAGCCCCTACGGAGGCTCGGGCAACGGGGGCTTCACCTTCGGTGGGGATGGCGCGGGGGCCCCATCGGGGCCGCCCGCCCCCGAGGACTGTGACTTCGGCTTCGACTTCCTGGCGCTGGACCTGACCGTGCCCGCCGCGGCCACCATCTGGGCCCCCTTTGAGCGGGCCGCGCCGCTGCCGGCCTTTAGCAGCTGCTCGGCCGTCAACGGGGCCCCCGCGCCACCCGCCCCCGGCGCCCGGCGCAGCAGCGGGGCCGGCACGCCGCGCCACTCGCCCACGCTGCCCGAGCCCGGGGGCCTGGCCCTGGAGCTCCCGCTGGCCCGCCGCGGCGCCGCGGACCCGGTGGGCGCCCTGGCCTGGCGGCCGGCGCAGGGCGCCCTGTCATCCTTCTCCGGCGGCGCCGGCTTCTCCGCGGCCACCTCGCTGCCCAGCGGTTCCTCGGCCTCTGCGTGTCCCCCCCTGGACTCCAGTGCCTCCGAGGGTGGCCGCAAACCCCCAGCGGCCGCGTCTTCGGCCGCCCCGACCCCCGCTGCCCCCGCCCCGGCTCTGGCGCGGGAGTGCGTGGTGTGCGCGGAGGGCGAGGTGATGGCTGCGCTCGTGCCCTGCGGCCACAACCTCTTCTGCATGGACTGCGCCGTCCGCATCTGCGGCAAGAGCGAGCCCGAGTGCCCGGCCTGCCGCACGCCTGCCACCCAGGCCATTCATATCTTTTCCTAGCGGCTTGGCTGGCCGCCGCAGGCCCCGGGGGCGGCGCGGAGGGGGCGGCACGGCGGGGGCGGCGGGGCCAGCCTTCACAGACGAGCTTTAACTCGGTCCCAGGCGTGGAGACGGCTGCCCGACGGCATCTCAGTTCTTAACAAATAAACAGTATTGAGTCGACAGGTTAAAATAAAACAGAGAGAAAAGGTCTGCTTGCACTTTTTATTTAAGACTCCTCGCCCCCCAGGGTGATCTTTTTAAGAAAAAAAAAAAATATATATATATATATATATATATACACACACACGATTTTTACAACTCCCCATTGTTCTTTGGGACTTGGATTTCTGACTTGACAGCCCTGGCTTCGGAGGCGGCCCGCAGCCTCTGTGAATCCCCTCCAGGAGAATGGCGACATTTT